TTGATTGGGTCTCTGTGGGTCCATCGGTTGGTTGTTGTTATTGTGTTGCGACGCGGCGGGAGGGAGCGGCCTCTGCTCTGGAGAGAGGCACACATAAAACGGATGGAGAGGCTAGGGGAGGGGGCTGGCCCAATGTCTGTGTGGGTCTGTGTGGTCTCAAATCATTCAAGTGACAGGACCCTAGGTGTCAAGAGGAACTGTCCACCGCGGATTGTACATGGAACCCCAGCCTACAAGCACTGCTACCGAACTGATGGTAGCTGCCTCTCGATCGGTACCGAGTTCGGTAGATGAGCCGGAACAGCGGTAGAAGTGAGCCTCGAAGGTGACTTGTGACAAGGAGTGGAAGGACTCCGGTCGTGGATACGGAATTCGCTTGTTGATCATTGCTAACTCGGGGCAAGCAAGGAGAAGTAGTGAAGCAGGGGGGCTGAGCAATCCTAGCCTCAAGACGGGGCCCGGCAAACCGGACATTACTGCTAGTACCGGTTAGAACAACGCATTCTCTCAAAGGTTCAACTCCTATCAACCGTAACCATGTAACCGTAACACACATACATCACAGCACGGAACCAGTAACACATCACGCTCGTTCCTAGACGATGTAGTACCACTGCTGTGCTGTGCACCTCTCTACACTCATTGTGGGCGAGAGGGTGTGTCGCCTCTGCTGCTGCTGCTGTTGCTGTTATCTAAAGCGGTGGCGGAAGCGTCCTGTTCAAACAATCAGCAGCAGCAGCACCAGCCGGGGAATTTTTCAACGTTTTTTTTTTCCTCTCCAGCTGATGACGATGGATAGCACCCCCCCCTCTCTAGCTGGTGACGATGGATACCACCTCCGTCGCTAGCTGATGATGGACACCACCCCCCCCTCTAGCGAATGATGATGGATACCACCCCTCTCTCTAGCTGGTGATGATGGACCGCCCCCCGTTCTTCTGTACGACGAGAAAATCACACGAGCCAGCCAATGAACAGACGCACGAGCCTACTGCAGGTACTTTTGTGCAACCACCACAAAAAACTATTCCACCTCCAACTCTAGTATCATCGATCGCGCTAACCGACTGAACAATGAAAAGACGTCAGTCTTAGTGCGGTTGAAAACGAAAAACACTTCTATCTGCCATTAGCTGGGACCCCGTGAGGGGGCAGCATGGGGGAGGCTAAACTATCCTTCGGATCAAAGACAGAAACAGCAGCAACCGAAGAAAACTGCACGCGTCTTCCAAGGCTAGGACCTTGTACCAGTGGTGCTCGAGTTCGTTTTGGAGTACTTTCACCATTATCCTCCTTGTTTTCGCTCCCATCATGCTGGTCCTCATTTTGACAAGAATCTCTGGGCAGTTCTTCCCTAGCCCTACGTTTGTTCTTTTGGGGAAGGTCATCTGGCTCAAACCCTTTGCTCTCTTCCACTCCTTCATGTTTTCCTCCTCCATCGTCGTCTTCGTCCTCCTTCTTCCCTTTCCCTTTCCTTCGTCTCCGTCACTCCCAAAAGAATTACTCTCATTACTATCGTTATCGCAGAGATCCCAACCGATTGGCCCTGGTTGAAGTTGGTCGATCAGTACCCCATGACGTTTGGACAAATCGCGAGTTGCATCGACAGAAAACGAGCTAGCTCGAAGGTAAACCGTCTCCGAATCCTGTAAGTATGAAAAGCTTTCAGGCGAACAAAGGCTCTTTCGTCGTCAAAATTTCCCCGGCAAAAGGCTTCGTGCGCCAAGTGGTTGGCGATAGCAACGATGAGTCGATTGGTGCCTTTGCCAAGACCACCATTCGTTGAAAACGCAGCAGTAAGGAGGGTAAATCTAGACGGGTTGATAGTTCCCGCATATTGATTTGCCCTACTTGCAGCTCGATCTTCGAGGGCGGATCCTGGCTTTTGCATCGACTTGTCGATGCTTCGACCTGCGGATGGGTTGACGATTGTTACGTCTTTCAGAATGGACTTGGTGCAGAGTTCCAGTTCCTTCTCTCCTGCGTCTAATCCTGGGGGGATTACCAAGTCCATCTTGTATAACCCCTTTCCCCAACCAGTGCCTGTGATAAAAGGGGAAGAATCCTCAACGGCGATGGGCATATGGCACTCACGCAGTGTCTTAAGGACTGGGCGAACCATCCTGTTATGGAGGAAGGTTGAGGCGCCGGTCTTGGTGCAGACGAGGGAGTGGACTCGGCTCAAGCGGTCCTTGCAAGGAAATAATGCACCTGCACCACAAAGTTTGCCTGTGTCGCAGTCTGCTCAATCGTGACTCCCCAGTCGGTGTGTGTGCAATTGTAGTGGGCGTCAAAAACCAAGTGAAGACTCTCGCTACTGCTATGCATCTTTTGGCGAGCAACTTGCGCCTGAAGCAGTTCGCATGCCGCGCTGCCGGAGTGATTCTCGTTGTTCAACGCTGATAGAAAAGGAACTGTTGTAAGTTCAGAGGACTCTGGTGTTTACGGTTCCCACTTGAAAAACATACAAAATAGACGCAGTCGTGATATTCTACTGTCTTATTTTCATTCAGCGTAAATTTTAGTTGCTGGCCTGCGTGCAGTCTCTCGGCGGTAGGTGCGAGCACTCTCGTTCTCCGGGAAATAAGCGCATGTTGTGTTGGGCACAACGGCATTTTTTCTCACGTGGGTGTATTTGCCAACAACCTGCCCTGACATGTCACAATTCCCTCGTCTCTTGCAAAGCTTGTCGCGCAGGACGAGGCAACCGGCTGGGGGCAAAAAGTCAGAGACTGCAAGGAAGGGGAAACGGCCTCAACGCACCGCGGGGGGGGGCGGCGGAGGTGCCACGTGGGGAGGCGGGGGAGGTGCCGCGGGGGACGGCACAGGTAGTGTCGCCGAAAAAGTCTGGGTGTGCAAGCCCGGACGGGACACCGGCAAAAACAAGTTATCGATGACGCAGCGATTGAAGATTGTCAAGGAGGTCCAGTGGGGGGCAAAGAGGAGCATGGTTGCTGCAAAGTGGAACGTTGGTGCTTCGTACATCAGCAAGTTGATGAACCCGGAGAAAATCGCTGAGNGAGGCAACCGGCTGGGGGCAAAAAGTCAGAGACTGCAAGGAAGGGGAAACGGCCTCAACGCACCGCGGGGGGGGGCGGCGGAGGTGCCACGTGGGGAGGCGGGGGAGGTGCCGCGGGGGACGGCACAGGTAGTGTCGCCGAAAAAGTCTGGGTGTGCAAGCCCGGACGGGACACCGGCAAAAACAAGTTATCGATGACGCAGCGATTGAAGATTGTCAAGGAGGTCCAGTGGGGGGCAAAGAGGAGCATGGTTGCTGCAAAGTGGAACGTTGGTGCTTCGTACATCAGCAAGTTGATGAACCCGGAGAAAATCGCTGAGCTTGAGAAAATCCGCCACATGGAGCTCAACCAGGACGCCCTTCGCGCCCCGAAGACTGTACACGACTATGTGGCTTTAACGAAGTACATATTTTGCGTTAGTCATGTGTTGGTCAGGATACAACTTGGTTGTCTATACGCCTACACCCTTCCGCCCGTACACCTCTTCCCACTCTCGACCAAGCTGCTGGGTTGGGGGTTCGCAAGCTCTAGTCCACCTGTTTCAAGCTGGCCGACTGAACGCACAACCAATTCAAGGGAGAGTTGATCGAAACCATGTCGCTGCTGATTTTTTTTATATCTTTCCCGACGCAGGCAACCAAGATTGGCGTGAGTGGTTCGATGATCCAGGCCCAGGCCTTGAAGATCGTGGCGCAGATGGGGAAGAACAACTTCAAGGCGACCAACGGCTGGCTACATCGCTTCCTGAAACGCTACAGCTTCACGCACGTCCAATTGCACGGAGAAGCTGGCGACGTGGACAAGCAGAAGGTGGCAGAGGAGATCGAGAGGATTCGTAAGCATCTACAGGAGTTCGACGTCGAGTTCATTTTTGACATGGACGAGACGGGACTTTTCTTCCGCTGCTTCCCGAGAGGTACATACGTCACGAAGGGGGAGGCCGCCGCCGGCGTCAACAGCGAAACCGTGCGGGGTTCGAAGGCCATGAAGGCCAAGGATCGGTGCACGGTGGTCGCCTGCTGCAACACGGCCGGGTCTCTGATGGTGCCGTTGGCCGTCATCAGCACGTCGAAAAAACGGGTGGTTTTCCGCCTTGTCCGCAAACCGCCATGTCCCTACTTCGCCCAGGACAGTGCCTGGCTCGACGCAGCCATTTACCAGCGGTGGTTTGACGAAGTCTTTGTCCCCTTCGTCAAAGGCAAGACCTCCACGAAGGTGGCGCTCTTGTGGGACAAGGGCCCCGGTCACAAGATCAAAAGCAACGACCCGCAGATCGTCGTCATCTTCTTGCCTCCGAACGTCCCTTCTGTCTACCAGCCCATGGGCATGGGCATCCTCTTAGTGCTCAAGCGCCAGTACAAGACCGAGATGGTGGCAAGGCTGGCAGACCTCATCGAGGACTGGGACACCGTCCGTGCACGACAACTACAAAGGTGAAATCAAAACAACAATGAAAGGGCGCTCTTTGTTACGGTCGTCGCAGGTCTTGCGAAGGCTCTGGAAATGGTGTCCTTTCAACTTTTTTGTCGAGCTGGTTTCAACATTAGCCCTTTCATCCATCCCTGTACTTCGTTTCGCCAGAGGGTGCCGGGGCCTCAGCGATGCAGGACAGGTGACAATGCTGGACGTCACGGAGATCTGTTCCCAAAAGTAGCGTAGCTTCGAAGTTCAGACGGTCATCAGGTGCTAGCTCAAGGCTGGCATCCTTCCCAGGGAGCACTGCAACGTTCTCAGGGGCATGGACACGCGGCTTGACCGAGAGGACAAGGACGACGCGGCAATCATCGACGGCCTTTGTGACATGGTCTCAAAAATGTCGATGCCAGCTAGCGTAACGGACTATAGGTCCATGCCGCGAGTGTTGACGGACAATTTGTTTGTTGAGAAGGGCACAGACCCCACAGAGCAAGAACGGCGGTCAAGATGTGGCTTACGGTAGAGGACGACCCCGAGGTGTTAGAAGAGGAGGTGGAGTTGGAACTGCAGGCAGTAGAGAGCGATCTCGCCGGCTTAGAAATGGACGACGACGTATCGAGCGAAGAGGGCGACGGCGACGGCAGGCCGGAGTCGCGCATATCCTCGTCCCTCAATGAGGGCGAGGTTATCTCTCGCTTGAAGGACGTCCGATCCTATTTGTACGCGAAGGGAAGGGGTGGCGAGTACCATGAGACGCAGTACCTTCTTTCGAAGACCGTTCATTCGTTTACTCATGAAACTCAACAGAGCTGTAGAACCAAGCCGCAGGGGGAGGTTCAGGGAACTCTTCGCGATATGTGGAGGGAAACGCCGTCAGGGTAGTTTGGTCTCCGCCGGGACAGTTATTTGTACTGGTGTTCCTCGGTGCGACGTTGAAATACGCTCGTATCTATTGTGTTTCACGAGAATGAGAAAACCTAATTTCTACTTGGACTTTCCTCCTTCCGCTGCCAGCGAAGCAGTACATTAGTTGGCCAAGTCCAAACTTGTGTACTGGATGTCGTTGTGTTCAACACGTTCCCGACTGCCGAACATCTCATTTTAAGTATTGTAAGTATGTTCGACGTCAACAAACGGTTGCCATTCGTCTCGGCGATGCTTACTTTTCGTACCACACCCTTGCTTATCAAAAGACGCTTAGTTTGAGGTAAAGCATGCCTTCATTGACCCCGGCGGTGGTGAGCTATCGTCCCCTGAATTTGAAGGACGCAACCCCGCTTTAACCCCCTTGCCACGCACAGAAAACTCGGCGTTCTTGCGAAATTTCTGAAATTTAAGAAAAAGAGCGAATGACGCCTGCTGATTGGATGGTGCAGACAGTTCCATCCCTGGGTGCAAGTGCAAAGCTCCCTTCCCACTTGAGCCGTCTCTTGCCAATAACATTTGATAGGGATTATAGACAGCAACTGGCAGGAGCGTGGTAGATGGGGCACGGCAAGGAGGTTTTCAAGATATTTCTCTGGAGGAAAAGCGAGACCTTCTAACCCAAGCCCTAGGTTGCCCGGTGCCTCCTATCAACGGCGGGCTAGGTACTTCTTCCGCGCTTGCCCCTAGTAGCGCTTTCCACCCAAGGGTAGACAGACGCGGCGCAACTTTGCTGTTGAACCCGCGGCGTAATCGCCCCCCGATTCGACCTGTTCATTACCCTTATTCTCCTCCACTCTACAAAACATCCATACTAAACTAGAGTCGTGCCCGTGTACCGTGGCACCCCCTTGGTCGAGTAGTTCAAAGGAGGAGACAATCATGCCATTCTTCGCGAGGTAAAGCAGGTGAAGAAGATGGGGACAAAAAGTGCCCCCAAAAGACGATCTAGCCCTAAAGGGGGTAAGGATGCTTTTTTTCGGGAAAAACCATGTGCGTCCTCAAGGCGGGGTCGACTGTAGGCGGAACGAGGTTTCGCCGCTTCTGCCTTTGCGCGTTTCGATATTGGCGGACCACAAGGAACACTCTGTCATGAATGCTTCATGTCGTGCAAAAACCAGTCATTACCTGCACCAATTCCCGGATACATGCGGGTGCAGCCTTCATATTCGAGTAATGCGAGCCCAGCAGGAATCCATCACAGGCAAGTGCGCACAGGGAAAGCGGATGGTATATGTACTTGGACGCGTTGTACGCATAGTCTAGTCTTGGTGTACATATATATTTTCAAATTCAAATAATTATGGTCTTCCTGTGTACCCAACCTCTCCGATCTTCTTACATCAAGTCGTGAATGCCTTCAGTCTCCCGGAGTGTCAGTAAGAAGTGTGGTGCGTGTGCGCGGCTCACGGGTGGGCGGGGAGACAGGTGGCCGCAGTCTTGGCTGAGGACTCTGGAGCCATGACCCCATGACATTCGCGGTGTGCACACGTGTTGTTCCCATAGAAACACAAAAAAATATAGGCCGAAAAAGAGATCGGGTACCACGCGCAAAACAAATATGTCTACGGAGCCCCCTCTGCGTGCGTGGGGTCACGCTCGTTGACACTGCTTTTTCAGCACGCTCCGACTCGACACTCAGGTGGAGGATGGAGACGAAACTGGGCAACAAGTTCAAGAATGTCACAAAGTACGTGTGAGAGTCATTTCAGATGATGTGGATTTCCTTGGGTGGGAGAAAACCGAGTCGTTGACCTGAAGCGCCTGGCGGCCTGTTTTTCGCCCCGTTGTTCCGCCGCTCTGGGAGGCGAACTTTGACGAAAGGTTGACCCCCCGTAAAGTTGACCAAATGGAACAGCGCTCGGAGACTGGAGTGATTGATAAGCATACACCTGGTTTATCGTTCCAAGAATTTTGGAACAGCTTTGTGAAAGCCGAAACAGACCTTCGCGCGCCGGTGCCTCAAAACGCGGCGGAAATTCCTCAACCGACGCAGCTCCTACGGCCGGCCGTGAGTCTGTGCTGCCGCTGCGGCCGCAAGAGCTATGGAATGATAAGCTGCAGTCATTAACACTCTTCAAAATTCTCCTGCTTTTGTCTAACCACTATCGGTTTTATGTTTACCGATTCTGAACAGGTTGTATTCCTATGTCGGCAACTGGGACCCGTTGTACCGCATGCCTCCGCGAAGGGGAAGCTACTGGTTTCCGACACATGCGGCCAAGGACCAGCAACCAAGTCCGGGGTTTCGTAGAGGAGGTTGGTATCTCAAACAAGTTTCCGGCCTTGGACGAGGCGAATTGAGGCGTCAGCGCCCTCGTACTGTGTAAACGTCCGTCTTATTGTTGCAGCTGTACAAAAAGCACGAGCAAAGGGCTAGCAAGGACCGTAGTAAAGACCGGCGAGCGCGCAGGCAGCTCGGACGCCTCGCCATGCCAAGGTGTGGAGGACTGCTCCTGAATCACAAACGCACTTGAGGCGTCGATGGCTCGATAGGTTCTGCACTTCGCCTGAGGAAGGGGAGGCTTTGCTGGATGGTGTGGATATCACGGGATGCGTTTTGGTCATGTGCGGTGGGCCCACGGACGCCGTCGCGACCCGTCTTCGATCCGCGTGCGAGATACGCACGAAGGACGTGAGCTCGGGGTAAGCGCGTTGTTCTTGTGTGAGTTAGCTTGAACGTAGCCAGCAGCAGGAAAAAGTCCTTGCACATAGATGGTCAGATAATAGTGCAAGGAAACACAGGGGGCAGCCGACAAAGGACCTCCGGGCAGCAGTTTTTATGTGGAAATCATACTGCAATGATTATGGTAAGGACTATTCAGGCCCGACATGGCACGTGATCATCACGTTATGCCGCAGGTACTGAGCAATACAAAAGTGAATACCAGGTGTTTTTCATGGATACGAAATTTCGTCCCGCTCTTCTGTGAGTTTGCCCCGGGCTATTTACCCCCCCCGACATTAATAACCGTTGCTCAGGAGCTAGACGTTCCATGACTTGGTTTTTGGCTTTGGCTGTTGCCACATGTACCAAGTGCCTTGTGCCGCAGGTACTGAGCAATACAAAAGTGAATGCCACGTGTTTTTCATGGATACGAAATTTCGTCCCGCTCTTCTGTGAGTTTGCCCCGGGTTATTAACCCCCCCCGACATTAATAACCGTTGCTCAGGGGCTAGACGTTCCATGACTTGGTTTTTGGCTTTGGCTGTTGCCATATGTACCAAGTGCCTTGCAAGGGTGACGTCTACGTTTGACAGACAAGATTCCGTACTGCATGGCCTCAACCGCACAAGGTCGTGTGCCCTTTGACAGGCACGGGCCACGCTCCTAATAGCAGTTTGGGGGGCATCCTTCTCAAACACAGGCGTTGCTACTGTAAATCTAGGGGGTGTCTTTGTTGAAGAGGGAGCGTCTCACACGTTTGGCGAAACGGCCACATGCTGGCGCATGGTTTTATTTTCCGTATCATGCGCGCCATCACTGAAATGTTTTTTGCTGTGNATCGCTGAAATGTTTTTTGCTGTTGTTCTCGATGACAGGCGTCCAGCGGATACCAACCTTGACGCAAGCTTGGAATCATTCCCGGAAGACTTTCTCGCAGCTTACTCCGGGAAAAGGCCTGAGTGGGTGGTGACGAGCCCTCCGTACAGCAGGGCTCTGACTTTTGTCAAGGCCGCCATGTCGTTGGCGACAAAAGGCGTGGCGTTCAAAATGCCCATTTCTTTCCTGGAACCTTGCGCCGACCGGGGTGGTTGGCTGCAAGCGAACCCCCCGTCTGTGTGTTTGTTTGANGGTTGGCGACAAAAGGCGTGGCATTCAAAATGCCCATTTCTTTACTGCAACCTTGCGACGACCGGGGTGGTTGACTGCAAACGAACCCCCCGTCTGTGTGTTTGTTTCTACGCAGAGAAAAACACGCATGCGAACAATGCGAAGATGGGCGAATTCTGGGGTGTGTGGTATACTCAGGAAGTGAGCTGCCGCAACGAGACGAGGCTTGTTTTCTGTCCTGAATAGCACGGCTGCAGTTGGGTAGCGAAATGGTTTAGTTGGGTTGGGACATATGCAAGGCGTAACGTCCCCGCAAAACTTATTTTTTCATAATATTGATTGTGGGAGTAGATATGTACGTGTGTTGAAGACATCTATTTCGGGGATGCGACATGATTATGCCCCGAGCGAAGTTGGCATGTTTTCGGGGCGTGCTCTAAGCAAACAACCAAACGTATGGGTGTGGCCGTATCGCGTGCACGTAATGAGTTCTGGTGTCATGTTTTGTTTTGATTGCCCTAAGGATGTGTCTTATCGACAGAATCAAGATCAGAAATCGAAATCAAAAATCAGTTTAAGTCCTGGAAGAGTCAACGAACATCTGCTGTGATTGGATGGAATAACTTTCCACCTGTCCGTTGGAAGCATTTGAATGGAGACCGCACGGAATCTTCATATGCTTAAACTCGAACTCAAATAAATGCAAAAACATTAAAATCGATGTCGACTTTTGCGAACAGCGCACGTGGCGGGCTATTGGGT